GGGTGAAAGGAGAAGGGAGGATGGTGGAGGCTGGGCACTGCTGGGGGTGAGTTCCGCCCCTCTGGTGGCTTTTCTGATCTAGCAAAGTGTGTAACAGTCGCACAACACGATTTTAGAATGTAATAGGTGGAGTAGAAGTTAAGGAAAAGTGTTTCCAGCCAGACATTATGTTCTGCTTTGTCCATAATATCAATTAAGAAATAGTATACAATCTTCGCCCCTTACAAACAGTGTTCGTATTACGAAAAATCGGGTTTGTAACACAGAGGGTTCCGTCGCAGACATATTACAACCGATTTTTCTCTATCCTAACAGCCCCGCTGTTCGTAATAATGGAAATCGCTACAAACCAGGCCCTTTCGTAATATAAACAGTAATTTGTTTGAATTACAAATGCTCTAAATCGTTTTACGATACGAAGGGCTGCTAGTTAGGGGCCGTTCACAAATTACGTCACGCAGCTGACGGGGGGGAGGGGGTCTCTGCCCGTGTGACGGTCCTATCCTGAAATCATTAGAAGGTTAGGTTAGCCGCGTGGCATGGGGGAGGGGGGGAGTCAAAACCGCCCGAAATTTGCGTGACGTAATTTGTGAACGGCCCCTTACAAACTAACAGTGTACAGAAACCATACTACTCAGGCCGACTTCTACACGAATTAGTTTTGAAAACGTGACCAATCGATAGTACGGGCCCATAATTAATACATGAATGCCTTGCTCTGTGTGGGGGAAAGGAGGGGAGGGGGGCGTATGTGTACGTGAATGTGTGGCCGACAGGGAGGCCAGCAGAACAGGGAGGATGTGTGCCAAATTCAACTGGAACCAGTTTTGTACAAGGCTGGCCGCTGCTATATTTCAGCGCAAGGGCATTCACTCTTTGGTACAATAGGGAGCGGTCTACAACTCACCGGACTATGAACACCCTCCCCCTCTCGCTTGCAGACGTGCCCATACACGCACGCACGCACGAGCCTAGGGCCTATAGAGAGGCTACAGTCCACGACGTATGGGCAGAATCCACGAGAAGGGTGAGCGGGACGGGACGTCCATTTCGTATACTTTTCTGTTTCTTTGAGGGAGTTCTCACTGGGATAACCTGGTAAACTTTTCAGTCAACATTGAAATAAAACAGAATACGGGTGACCATTGGACAAGAGATTATGAGCAAGTTTTCCGACATAGACGATACACCCCTTTCCCCCTTTCTCTGCGCAGTTGCCGCCTGCCCCTCCTCCACCCCGGGCCGCCCCCCTACAAATGCAGTCTTGAGAGATGTCGGCCGCCCCTGCAGCTCTTTGGCATGGGCTGAATGCACGTACCGATATTTGGGCGTGTTCCATACAAACTCTTGATTTACCGCAGCCCAGCGCACGCCGGCCTTGCCAAGTAGACCGACTCCCCCTCCCCCTTTTCCATTCCCTTGATGCTTGGTCTGACCGCCACTCGTGATCTTCGACCTCCTGGTCAACAGTGCCCACGTGCCTGCCTGTTTCGGCATACCTTGTTATACTTTCCTAATTTTTAAATATGTCAATGTCAAAGCCGGCCAAGAACTAAATTTTGCCCTTTCCACAATATTAATCGGTTTTCGATCATATTAGTTGTATTACGTTTGAAACCAAATAAGGCACATGGGCAGAATCTCCAACAGTGCAAGAGTTAGTGTGTTCCGTTAGCGCCGCCTGGATGCACGCGCGCATCGCGTCCAAGCGTCCCAGCGCCCCGCCCCACCCTGCCCCTCCGCGCCGGTGCGCAGATATTTCCCGTCCAGACGCCGCAAGACGGATGCCCTGTATATATCGTGCTGCCTATTTCGTTTTAAATTAAAATGTCTGGAGGAAGCCGCAGCGTGCGGCGATACGTCTTGAGTCTGTGATTTAGGGCGCGAATCCCTCTCGCCCCCCGCCTCCCTCTCTCTCGCTCGCTCTGTGTACCTCCTCGCCCTGGGCACTCTCTCGCTCCTTCTCTTTCTCTCGCTCTCTCTCTCCGTCGCCCCGTTCCTCCCCCGCGCTGCAGCTTCTTTTCTCCTTTTCTTTCTGGGGAAAAGTCCTGGACA